TTTAGCACTAAACAGATGATGCTGTCAATAGTTTTCATTGTGACTCTCTCAGATAGAAAGCAGTTCCCCTGAAAACAGTGTACAGAAAGATCAGTGGATTATCCAGAGTAACAGAAACTCATTATTTAAAATAATGTGAACACACATGAAACACCATAGAAGTGCGGAGGAGGCAGAAATCTCCACAGATGGATATCTCAAAGCCTAAGCATATAACACAGATGCTATCAGTTTACCTAGAGCTAAGATTAAAAATAAATATATACATTGAACCAACCTTTTGAAGAAAACTGGCTTATGCGCTATGGATAGCGCTGCAGCTGTAAACAGTTCACTTAGTAAAGCAGTGCATCCTTACTAATTGTCATGTGCTTTTTGTATGAATGCCAAGGGCCAAGGGCATGGATATGTGCCTGCTCCGGCCACAGCTCACACCCTGACTCCATTCACAGCCCAGCAGAGAGTGTGTGAGAAAAGGGGGGGATGAAGAGGAGAGACAAAGCGAAAAAGAGAGAGAGGCTGCTTTTGTGACTGCACAGACAACAGTCTTTGTCCTACAGCATCATGGGGGTACAAGGGCCACCAATGTCAAGCAAACAAAGGTCCAGAGGCACCTCTATGCCTGACTCACATATAAACATACTCAGGCTTCCTTCTGGGGAGAGACAGGAACAGCAAAGTAATAGTGGGGACTGCCTGTGCTGGAAGAGGGTGGAAAAGCAAATCCATAAACAATCAACACAACTGTGTGCATGAGTGCCACTACATGCTTGCATGCGTGCATCCACACTGAACAGCACATTGGAAGGACAGACTGTTGTTAGTGCCATTACCGTAAACACAGATGGCAGCAGGGGCAGTTAGATAGCTCTTAAATTGAATACATCTGCAGCTATGCTGGCTGCCTGTGGCGCAGGGAGGGAGAGAGGTGAACTGAGGTCACTGTCGTTCACTATGGAGTTTAGAAAGATCCGCTTTGAGGCGAACTAGCAAATAAAAGCTTAAGATTTTCAGTAGGTTCTTACATCATGAAGGAAGTAACCACAATCATAATAAGTATAATGCAAGCTATGAGCGTGACTATATAGCCCAGAACGGTAAATAGTGCCTAACAAATATTAATCTGAACTGGACACACCACCTATTAACTAATGCATGCCCTCAGCTGTTTACTCAAGCTGGAGAGCCCTGCGAGCAGGAAGCCTGGTCTGTGGATGTGACTCCGGTGAAAATACAGGCCTCTCTGGTAGAAAATGCAAAGCCCAGGCCAAGTCCGCTTCTTTAAAAAAAAATTGAGAAAGATTGCGACCGAAAGCAAATGCGACAAGCTTCTTCTGAAAGTAGCCCTGCCATCTCAAGCATGAAATAAACCTCATAATATCCGGTGATTCTAAACTGACAAAAACACTTAATAACCTCTGATGTCCTCGCACAGACCAGTTGATATCACACAAAAATAAAAGGCAGATTTGATGCTATCTTTTAAATGCTAATAAAGGTAGATTCGAGTGGTGGGAGCTCCTTACCCATGTCTGGAAGGCTGCGCTCAGGACTAGATGGCTCCTGCAGCTGGTCCGCTGATGATATGTGCAGCTTGGATTCAGCCCCCGTATATCAATCTCAACTCGCTTTCTGTTCCCCAACAATGGACAGACTCGCTGTTGACTGCATGTGCAATCCTAAAGAAACAATGTCGCTTTTCAATGAACTTCAAGGCGGAGAATAAGAAGGAGGAGGTCAAGGTCTTTACGCTTGTAGAAATTTACTTAGCTCATTGTTGACGTGCATTTGCATATAGAGAGAAACTCGCAACTTCTTATGCAAATGCAGAAAAGGGAAGGTTTTTTTTCCCATGGAAAACACCACTTTTGAGTTGACCATCCCAATCATAGGCTTAACCCCTGGTTTGTCAGGGCCTTTGTTTAAAAAGCCCAAGTGGTAATATTTAAGGCCTGATGAAGGATGAGGAACGGCCCATGAATCAAGCCTAATGGGACTGATCTGTGAACAGTGAATGTGTCTTGCCTGACATTAAAACGCACGATCCCGGGGGCACTCAGGTTATAGCCTTTACTCTCCAGACTTAGGAAATTGTCAGATACAGATACTATCTGTCTGACTGCAGTGTTTGAGAGACGGTAGTGAACATGAAAGATCGGACGTCTCCTAGCAGAACTGATGTGTGCCTTATCATTTATCTCAAATTATTTCATTTAGTTCTGCAACGTTCCTTTAAAATCAACCTTAAAGTGGAATTCATACGCCATATGAATAACATTGCCAGTATTCTAATTGTACTTGATTGTTATGTCATGTGTTTGTAAAACTCCTGATGTGTATCCCAGAGATGATCCGAGTATCTGGGTCAGTGCCAGCTGGTTGCTTTGTCCATATCAGCTGGTGCAACCTCATAACCCACTATCAAATGCTGAACTCGAGTAAAATGAATTTGATTAAAATGAAATGAGCTGTGAGTGGAGCAGAGCAGCATGCAGCAGGGAGGCATCACTGATCTCGGGCGACCTGACTGTCTGATTCATCTCCACCCTCTGGCCAAATACCAAATAAAGAGCCAGATTTGGCTTCATCTGCATCCAGTAGATGGCAGGCTTTCTCCCGCCACCGCATGTGCACAGCAGAAGGCGCTCGGACAGTTTTATCTCTTAACAGAATCAATCAATCCTTCAATCCATCCATCCATCTATCCATCTATATATCTGTCTATATATCTATCAATCTATCTATTGAGAAAAGTCGGTTTTGCCATGAGGCATCTCTAAGCATTAGGCTGTAAATGCCACTTTGCAAAATTGTTAGGTTTTTTGTCCACCAAGTCTCTTTAATATTAATGTTAATATGCATGTTTTAATATATCAGAGTCTGTAATTTCCTCTACAAAGATGCTACTTTAATTTGTACTTTTATTATGCAGCTGTATGTGCATTCTCTTTTTAGTTCCTGTAGTTCAGTACGACCCTATTAGATAATTTATTTGTGAGCTGCTAGCTGAGAAATCCTCAGAGACGCACCACTTATGTTATACAAGACTTGTTCTTCACCGACCACATTGTGGTACATTGTGTTTTACAGGCTCTGACTCTTGACTTTCCTTCTTTCCTCTAACACAGGTGTATCTCAAAAGATTAGCTCAATAGTATATGATACTGTAAAGATGAAAAAAGTTTTCATTTTATAAAAGCTAAAACAATTAGCCCACCCTCTTTGTGTCATTGCCTGCTCACAGATTTGTAAACACATTTCACTCTGACTCATCCCTACTTTATACATCACTTAACCTGGTTTGATATCTCGATTGTTCCCCGGTGTACAAATGCATCAGTAATGCATGGGAAAAACTGCCTTTTGTAAAGATTTCTTTCAACACAGTGTGATTTCACTCCAAACATCTGTCATCAAAACAACAAGCCTGTTGGCTTACTGGTTGCACTACACTAGGTTTTCTGTTCTTTTGGATGCAATCCAGCGGTGAGAAGCAGCGCTATCAGGTAACAGGTGAGAGGCAGTGACTTGAAATGGTGCCGGTACAGCTTCTGTCTGCTGCTTCTCACTTGCCCACAGCTGCTCCCTGTCTCTTGTGGTTGTCTCAGAGCTGCCTCTTGAGAGACTTTCATTAACCCCCCACCCCCCACCCCCAACATTAAAGCCTTTTGTGCATCTAAACACTTTAGACTCCACTTCACTCAAAGTTGGAAATCTGAGAAAGGCTAAATCAACTTTGCAGACAATTACCTTAGTCTTCTGGCTGCAGGGATCATGGAGAATAATCCCCACATATAATGGATGTATTTTAGCAATGCCTTGCTGTGATAGGCTCTATCTTATGGCAGCTAATACTGTACTGTATACATCACCTGCATCAAATTTCTACAGAGAGCACAGGGAACAAGTCTCTCCTGGTAACCTGAAATACTTGACTTCTCAGATCACCTTTTATATGCTTTCCTGGTATCTTACGAGAGTCTTTATCAGAAAATGGATCAACTTTATTTCCACAGAATTTAAGAGTTTTTCTCTTGATAATGTTTGAATACACTGTGTATCAGAATAAACCAAGGGATTTGATCATTAAAATGCAAGAAGTCTCTGACAAATGTTCAGAATACATTTAATTCACAGGATGATTTCATCCTTGACACTACGTGAGTGAAGATTACACACATTATTTGCTTTACTCTCTTAGTTATCAGAGTAATATTTGCTTTTGAGCTGGAGTGGAACCTCATTCTCCTCAATATATCCCCTCTTGTTGTGCTGGATGCTTCTTCTTCTCTGTTTCAGGTACAAAACAACTGTCACTACAAACAAAAATGTGGATGCTATTATCATAGCTAGGCCTACCAACAGTGTCAGTTGAGCAGATCTGGGGTTTTCTATCTCACAGATGGGAGCCTTTGAGGGAGTTTGAACCAAATCAGATGCCCCTGCCCATTTGGGTGCCCTGTCTAAGTGGCAGGGCTCCATGCTCTCGGTAACCAACAGATTAACCCAGACAGTGCTATAAAGTGGAGTTGGTTTTCCCTCATCTCTGACCATAATGAACAGGTGATGCATGCCCAGGTCCGTCTGTAGAAGATGCTGACCTAAGGTGATGTCACCCGACCTTGAATCCACCTGAAAGGGGCTGCTATTTTGCACTGGCTCTGATGCCACAATACTGTATGTAATTTCAGAATTTGTGCCTGAGTCCTTGTCGATGGCGTATATTTTTGCTACCATGGTGCCTGCCACTGTTGCTGGAGAGACAGTCACACATGTGAAATTGCTGCTGGGAAGAATCACTTTTGGCTGGTTGTCATTGATGTCCTCCACAAAGATAGTTACTCTAGCAGTGGAAGTCAAAGCGACTGGGTGCCCGTGATCACTGGCCAGCAGGTAGAGCTCATAGCGGCCCTCTGTCTCACGGTCCAAGTGGGTGGTGGTGCAAAGTGTCCCCTGGATGCTATCTGCAACAAAAAATCCACTGCTGCTTGCAACATTAATCTCTATGTTCCCATTCTCCCCTTCGTCTGGGTCTGTCACCCCTACTCTCCCCACCTGGGTGAATGGTGGTACATTCTCAGGGATGAAAAAGATGAAGTGAGGTCTTAGAAAAACAGGTGCATTGTCATTCTGGTCCAGAACATGAATGGATACTGTGGCCACAGACTCCAAAGGAGGAGAGCCCCTATCTTGTGCAAACACAGTCAGTTTGTGTTCACCCTGCTGTTCCCTATCCAGACAGGCAGACACAGACAGTTGACCTGTCACTGGGTCAATATTAAAGATGTTAGATATGTGTTTGTCCAGCCTGTAGGTCACCCTGCCATTGTGTCCACTGTCTGCATCTGAAGCTGAGACCTGCAGCAGTGCAATTCCAGGCTGGTTGTTTTCCTTCACCTCCAGCTGGTAGTGAGACTTGAGGAAATGTGGGGCATTATCGTTGACATCTGCCACCAACACTCTGATCACACTCCTAGAAGGAATTATCAAAGACCCTTCAGCTGATCTCTCCTGCACTACCACAGATATATGATGTTCTCTTTTCATCTCATAGTCTAGTGGCTTAGATGTGGAAAGCAGATATTTGCCATTCTGTGGGCTCAAAGTGAAAGGCACTTCACCCTCAATGGCAAGAGACGAACCTTTAAAGCTGCTGTCACCTTCAAGCTCTAAAACAGCTAAGGCGGTGGGGGTCTGATTCTCCAGTAACACCATAGTGTGGTTTTGATGTTCAGCTATGAACCTGATCTTGATTGCCAGCTCTTGGTTTGCCTTGGGGAGCACAGAAATTGTTACCCGAGTGTCTATTGGGGGGCAGTGATGGCCACTAGCTAACACTTTCAACTCCAGCTCCTCAGGTTTGTCAGTCTGGAGGTCCTGTGTTAGTCTGATGTACCCAGTGAGGCTGTCAAGGCTAAAGAGCCTCTTGGCCCGCTCAGAGACTTTGGGACTAAGGGAGTAAATGATGGCAGCATTCAGGTCTGAATCTGGGTCTGTGGCTCTGACCTGAGCAACCAGCATGTTCCTCAGGGAGTCTCCTGGGATGGCGACACGACGGGGGCTGTCAGAGCTAAAGCTTGGACAGTTGTCATTAACATCTGTCACACTGACTATTAAAGTTGCTGTGGCACTTAAAGGGTCTGCACCACAGTCGGTGGCCACCAGTGCCATTTGATACTGGTCCTGATCTTCCCTATCCAGAGCTGTCTGCACAACCAGCATGATGAAAGGCCCATCTTCTTTTAAACTGAAAACTCCATCAGAATCTTCTAAGTGGTATTGCAGCTCTCCGTTAGGACCAACATCCCTGTCCTGAGCCTGATCATCCAGTAAGAAACTAGTGCCCACACTCACATCCTCAGATACCCTCAGGTGTATTTCACTGTTTTCAAAATGAGGTGCATTGTCATTGATGTCTTCTATGATCACGGGAAACTGAATAAGGTCTCCTGAGGGCCCTGTGACAGCATTGTGTAGAATAATGCATTGATTTGCTTTTGTTTCCTCTGGGCAAAGGGCCTCGCGATCCATCTTTTGCTCAGTGGTGTATAAATTTCCTGTGTTTTTGTCCATCCATAGATACTTCTGAGTCAGGAGCTGGTACGGAGATGGAAAGTGTTTACTAAGTGACCCAGCCAGAATGCCAGGCCCCCGTTCCTCTGGGACAAAAAAACGGACATTGCCGCATGTGATCTGCATGAGATGGACCACGAGCAGTGCAGTCTGATGAGAAAAGAAACAAGCTGTGAGCAGTAGTTTGTTTAAAAAACACTCCAGCTTTCTCTCTCCCTCTTAAATGTTGCTTATGATTAGACAGCCTTATTGTTGCACTTGAACCCTGGTGGAGTATGGACGCTTTCCCAGGTAGTTATCAGGTTTAAACTTAATGCCTCAGTGAGCTGGTTTAAAAGCAGCCAACTGTACAGTGAAGGTAACACGATGCCTCTCTATTATCTCCAACCAATTACAATAACATACAAACAAAGGCAACAATAAGACACACCTTTGGTGTTACAAAAAATAAATATATAAATAAATGAATACATAAATAAATATCTGGAAATATTTCTGCATTTATCACAAACATTTTAGTCCATTTCCTCTTTTAAGAGGTTCTGAATGGGCACAGTATTCCATATAACCTGCTGTAGCAACACTTCAGAGCCTGTTCAGATGCTCTACTTTCTATTCAGTATATGTATATTTTTCTAAATATCACACTAAACAAAATCAGTTCAGGGTATACACTAACAGTAATTAGATAGCACCACAATAGATAACATCCTTGAGTTGCTTTCAGCTCACTGACCTGCAGTAGTCCAGCCCAGTTCATACTATAAGAAGTCCCATGGCCCATCGTCCACACACGTTACCCAAGTTCCCCGGCAGCAAGTGAACACTGAGGGCAGAGGCAGCAACCTAAATGTACACTGCTGAAGGCATAATTCATTACATGCCCCTCCCACCGCACTTACCTAGCGTGTCAGACTGACACAGGAAAGGTCTCAGGAGGTGTACCTGCAAGTTACTAAAGAATCAAACAGCAGTTAAGCCGAGGCTTATGTTATGTACACATCTTGCTTCTAAATGTGCAACACCAATGTGCTTATCTGTTTTTATTGGTACATCTGCCATCTGTTTTTATAATGTTTTAACAGTCTCTGAATCATTTTTTTCTCTCACCATTGTCTTCTGGCACTTATGATACTGGTATCAATTTGAGGTACATTTCAGAAGAAAATATTATTTTTTTGTGTGAACTTCATTTATCTGACAGATAGTTTGCAGTTTCAGGTTCTAGATACAAAACATGCTCAAATCAAACACTGTATTCTGCATAATTCCCCCGCCCCAAACAGCTACAACATTAAAATATTTCTTACACAATTAAAACATACATGGATTCATTTCTTTTCATTTGAACTTTTGCAATGCCCTCCTTACTGGAGGGCACTGTGGGCAGACTACAGCTAATTTAAAATGCTGCTGCCAGTTAGCTTTAGGGCTGACTACAACATTTCATTCCTCATCTATAAATCTCTAAATGACCCTGCTCCACAGTATCTCTGACCTACTCACTTAATATACAGTATGAACCTAATTCTTTCATTTTCTGGTTCAGGTTTTGTAATTAACTGTATATTTGCATGCTGTGTATACATGTTTTTGTTTTGTTCAAATTTTAATGTAAACACATTTATTCTTCCTTGAAATTAAATGTGCTATAAGCTATGATATATGCAATAATGTAACACTCTGGCATATCCAATTGATACTTTAAGTACATTTGGATGATTATACTCCTGTACCTTTGTTCAAGTACATTTTTGAACCAACTACCTTAAATTCAAATGGAATATTTTACAGCTGTAGAACTTATATTTCCATCACATGCATCGTATCAAATTGCATAAGATGTCCCCTAGACTTGCACAGGTGCCCTGGAGAAGTACATTACTCTTTAAGGGCCTCTATTGACAGAGGAGTGCTACTAGCAGAATTATAATATTTCAAATATGGAAAGAAAGACAAAGGATGCTTCACATACTTGATTAACCTAGATATAAAATGAACCAACTAAAATAGATAATAAAATATCTGGATTTAATAATAATAATAATAATAATAATAACGACCTGTTTGCACAGTGTGGCATCGCTCTCAGAAATTCGTACACACACTAATCATCGTCGCAGTTTTTACCCTCCAATTTAAAGCTTCAGTCAAATTCAGAACAACTCTTCAAGGTCCTCTTTAAAATTATATGGAAGCCAGCTGCTTGTGCCAAAAATCACGATAAGCCTCTCATGAATACTAACGGGAAATGGACTTTTAAAGGCCACACAAAGTTTCTCTTTTTAATTTGAAAGCGTGGAAAGAATTGTCAGCCTCAGTCAGAGTTGCATAACGGATTTTTCTGCCTTGCGTGTTGTGTTCCTTTCCGCTTTCCGCCCACTTTTTGCACTTACAGTAGAGCTCTGAGGGTTTTTTGCGAGCTGATTGGCTGCTCCGATCCGTTAGCTGAGCGGCTGTGGAGCGTCTTATCATGAAACCATCGTCCTGTTTGTAAGCGTTAATGCGCTCTGAGCCCAGACGCACAGCAACTTGGTGTTTTCTTTTCTACTGCTCAGGCATGTCCTCAGACATTTCCACAGGTGAGTCCAACGACTAGGCTACTTGAGCCATTAGTTTTAAATGATGATGCAGCGGGGCTGTAACCTACATATATAACGTATTTTACCCTTTAAAAAACCCCAGACTTGCCAGATCTTTTCTATATATGATATTATGTTGTTGCAGTAAAGCTCCAGAGAGAGTGAGAACTTTTGCGGATCATGTAGCCTGCTGTGCTTTAAGTTTTTAACCTTATGCTTTCCTGTTAGTTGGTAGGCCTATACTTTACACTGGCTAGATGGCAGGTATCTATACTCATTCAAATTACTCCCTTTTAAAAACCTATGATTGTTTCTTTAAGGCTGTATTCTTTCATAGCTTGCCAAACACTGATGTTTATTAATATGTATACTTTGCTTTAATACTCTTATGACCTCCTATTTCTCATGGGCGCTGTTAAAGCTGTGCCATGTTCCTGTTAACCTAATAAAACGACTTTGTGATAAAATGTTAGGGCAAACTCAGGGTGTGTTGATCCTATACTGCATTTATTATTTTATGACTGTGTGTTTATTCAAGAAATAGCCCTAAGTGTTGCTTTATAGCAGCCTGAAGCAAAGAAATTAGATTTAAAATGTAACATTTTTCTATCAAAGTTTGCAGACCAGGTATTTTACAGGCTATTTGGTGTTTTATATGCCTTATGGGCTGTTAGGTTTATTTTCACACATCCAGTTACTTGACACAGCCCTCTGACATAAACTTCAACTGCAGCTTTTGGCTTTTATCTTCTATTTAATTTCATTCTCACCCTCAATATAATTGTAATAAGTTATTTTTATAACAAAAAATGTCCTAGATCATTAAGATATGAGACTGAAATATTCAAAATTTAATCAGGCTTTTAAAATATGACCTTGATATAGAATTTGAAGCCATATCACAGAGTATTTGACAACCTGACAATGTGCTTTCTGGAATAACATAAAAATTTTCTTAACATTTTCTTTCAGTGGAGTAATGTGATTTCTTTCCAACTACTGTCACATTTTCCACAGACGTGGAGCTCGAGCTGGGCGAGCTGCTGCAGGAGTTCCAGGATGTGATGGAGGAGCTTAAGGCCCCCCCGAACAGCAAACCTCACGCGTACCAGCACGTACTGCAGGAAGCCAAAAGTCGCACAGGGCTGGGCGATGACAGCGGAGTCGAGGACTCAGATTACAGTGAGTAACGGAACCTTCACCCCAGAGCAGTGTTGCTGTTATTAAGATAATGCTTGCTTAATGTGTAGACTGCGGGGAAGGGGGCTTTATTTAGTGCATCGTCTGCTGGTGGGTAAGGCTGTAAGGAGGCCCCATGGGTGCTAGTTGAGCCCCTTTATCAGGCCAAACAACTGCAGTGTGACACTTTCAATTTGCATGAAATTAGTGGTACAAGAGCACAAATCCCTGTACACGTCTATTAAAGTGGCTGGGTTGCACAAGACAATAGTTGTGCTCTGGAATGAACTGCATTTATGGATAACCCATCTTTTGTAATCACCTGTTTTCCTTATTTTATTTCTTTTGGCTGATGAGATAACAGAACAAAGTGTATTTTTCTGCTCCCATGTGTTGT